GCGGACATTAATTCTTCGAACGCGAAAAATTTCTTTTAGGTCTTTTCTTAAAACAAAAACAGAAGTTTTCTAAACAGGTAAGCATACTATGTTGCAGAGCTCATCAAGGGCAACAATCGGGTAGTGGTAAATTCCAAAAAAACCCAAGCTTGAACTTTTTTTTGCTTTTTATCAAAAATAACTTGTAATTCCCCTTTTTAAGCCAAATTTCTTCACATCGAAACCTATTCAAGATATCCCAACAAAGCTAATTGGATGAAATGGATGCCTTTTGACATATTCTGTGCATCGGACGTGTGCTGTTGAGCTTCTTTGCTGAAAATGGCTCTTGACAGTGCATGCACATGACCTCACCTGCGTCTCACCACTGACTTGCACCGCTTTGCAGGCTTGTAGGTCGGCCAGCAGTCAATCTACGAGCCTGCTAGTAGGCTCATTCGAAAGAGCGTGAGTTCCTCGACACGATGATATGCAAATGGGTTGGGTTTGAGAAACTCTGGAGAATTGACGGATGGAGTGATAAAACGCAGCTTCAGTTGTAGGCTGGGGATTTTTCAGTTGAAGTTGAGCAAAGCTCTTTTCGCCACCAGTCCTATCCTGGAAGTTCAAAACTGTTAACTTTCTTGTGATAAACCCATTTCGGAGCTCTAAGACTGTTCTGGTTGATAAGAGCGTTTACTCCATTCTCCTCTAAGGATGCGCTTTAGCACCCCATCCGTCAATTCTCCAGAGTTTCTCAAACCCAACTAATTTGCATATCATCGTGTCGAGGAACTCACGCTCTTTCGAATGAGCCTACTAGCAGGCTCGTAGAATGACTGCTGGCTGAGCTACAAGCCTGCAAACGGTGCAAGTCAGTGGTGAGGTGCAGGTGGTGTCACGTGCACTCACTGTCAAGAGCCATTTTCAGCAAAGAAACTCAACAGCACACGTCGGATGCATAGAGAATGTCAAAAGGCATCCATTTCATCCAATTAGCTTTGTTGGGATATCTTGAATAGGTTCCCATGTGAAGAAATTTGGCTTAAAAAGGGGAATTACAAGTTATTTTCGAAAAAAAAGCAAAATAAAATTCAGGCTTGGGTTTTTTGGAAATAACCACTACCCGATTGTTATTCTTGATGAGCTCTACAACATAGTATGCTTACCTGTCCAGAAAACTTCTGTTTTTGTTTTAAGAAAAGACCTAAAAGAAATTTTTCGCGTTCGAAGAATTAATGTCCGCGACATTGTGACGCGGCCATTTTCGGACTTTTTTTAGGAAAAGATTCTTAAAATTTTTATAATAAACATTTTCCAGAAAGCGCAATGTGTGGTTGTAGCTCTTGAAGAGCTCTATCACCCCATGCAATTCATTCATTTTTTCATCTTTGTTTTCCATCCGAAAATGAGCGATGAAAAAAGAAAGAGGCGGCTTGTCCGCAACTTTTTGGCGGTCACTGTATATGATAGAAATAGGAAGAATAAGATGAGAGGCAGCAGATTTACGGGGGATGTACAAAAAAAGAGAATGTAACAAGAAAGAAGAACTGAAATAGATGTGCTGACCAAAAAAATAAAACAGACCGCCCGCACGGGGCGACAAGAGCGTAATAATATAAAAATTTTTGGAGTATAATGAAAACCACGTGGCAGTCAAGAGCGCATTGAAACGTGCTATTAAAGGCAGTGTCCGGGCAAAAACTCGATTTTGAGATTTTGTGCTTATACGGGTCTATTCGCCATGCTGAATCCGAAAATTCACATTGGAAAGCGCGAAAACGGCGAAAAAGGGCTCTAATACAGGAGGGAAATTGGCAGGTGGGCGGGGCTTTCCCCAGTGCGATTTTACGCTCCCAGCTCCCGAAGCGATTTTCTCGATTCCGCTAGCCGTCCTAACATCGCTACCGGCCAACTGCGAACGATTGACTTGAAACCGGAAGCGAGAAGGTCGCTCCGGAAGCCGGGAACGTGAATTCGCAGTGAGGAGAACCCATCCCACCTGCTCATTTCCCTCCTGTGTTAGAGCCGTTTTTCGCCATTTTCGCGCTCTACGATGTGCATTTTCGGATTCAGCATAGCGAATAGGCCCAAAAAAGCACAAAATCTCGCAAGTTTTTGCCCGGACACTGCCTTTAACCTTACGGTGTAATGGTCCAAAGTCTGGGGTATTTCTGTGTATGTGAGCAAAAGTCCCGTCTTCCAAATCGGTTCTGGCACGAGTGAGATTTCCATTACGAACATGCTGGTATAACTCTAGACAAGAAACCATTTGTCAAAGACTTAGGAGTAACCTTCAGTCTATCTTTGAGACCTGACTTACAGATCAAAGCCGTTGCATCCCACGCAATTACTGTTACCTACCTCATATATCTTAGTACAAAAGTTGATGACCCTAAAATACATCTAAAACTTTGCAGAGCTTTTGTTATTTCATTCTAGAGTACGCGAATCAGGTGTGGAGCCCCTCGCTGGTGAAGCACAAGCAGTCTCTGGAGAGCGTTCAGAAAGTTTTCACACAATCACTCTTCTACCGTTGCTATCCTAGTCCAACATATCCCCAAACACTTCCTAGGTATGAAGAATGTTTGAAAAAGCTTAATATCAAAAGTCTCTCTTGCGGCAGAGTGATACTACCTAGTACTTGCTTTTAGGATTTTCGAAGGGAAGACCATATTAAGGCCTTCCAAGTACTGGGTCTTTGAACCCACTCCATTAAAGGATCAGCTGTTTTTCTACGCTACGTCAGTGCCGCTTTTCAAAACTGCGTTTGAAACGCAATAATGCGCCGGAAGTGAGGCATTACTATAACATTTTTCGGATTAGTCCTATTGAGCGCTGGTTTAAATATTTGAAACCAGCACTGTCTGATGCATCTGATAGTATGTTTAAAAACTGAAAAATTCACAATTATTTTTGTGCCTTACAGCAGTAAACGCGATGTTGCTTTGGAAGTGCCGCATTGGAGTAGCTTCCCACAAAACTATTCTATTTGACTTTCATTCTTATATTTGGATTAAGCACTGCTTGCTCTATCAGATGGTGTGTTCAAAATCTGACAATGTCTTCATGTGCCGCAGGGCGCGATGAACGCACTTTTGTGCGTAAGAAGTGCCGCATTCATATAACTGTCTCTAAAATTCTCCCAAAAAAGTCTAGTTTGCACTGTTTTCATGAGTGACCCTTGAGCTATCCGCCAATGTGTTTGAAAGACCATAGACCTCAGTTTTGGGTAAATTAAAAGTTTTAAGTCTTATTGGTTTCTTTTTGCACTGATAAGCTGATAACTGTTTTAAAATTATCGTAAAAAAACTACGAGCAGCATATTCAGAATCAGCGCTTTTCAAGCTATCCGTAGGTAGGTTTACAAGTTTTAAAATGTCAAATTTTTTATTTCGGATTTTATTGCTTCCGCATAATGGTATAATTAGCTAGGCCGGCTCCGGCCCTTGGCTGCCGTGACCTATCAATATCGATTTTGCTATCATGATAGCAGTGGCGTACCGAGGGGGGCGCCCCCCCTCCCCCCGAGAGCGGGTCGCGAAATTTTTGAAAGTTACTAATAAAGGTTATAAAAATGTGCAAAGGACTTGTTTATACTTGTAAATAATTAAAATAATTTTTAAAAATTTGTAAAAATTCAAATTAGCCTTGTAAAAAAAATTTCGGGGGCGGGTTCGGGACCCGCAAAAATGTTGAGAAGCACCCCTAAAATTTTTTTCGGAGTGCGTGGCTAACGCCATGCACCTTCATTCGAAAAAAATTTTTGTCCGCCCCCCCTCCCCGAGCGGAAACCCTGGGTACGCCACTGCATGATAGGTATGGTCATGAAATACAGTACTAAGATTACACATTAACTTTCACACGCCCAAAGTACGGCACATAGCGGAATTTGGCTTGTGAGATCATGAACTCTAATTTTTGAAATTCGTTCAAGTTTAAAAATTACCCGAAATCTTTTAAAGAAATTCAGAGACTGCAAAATCAGTAAAAATCTTGTCATCACGAGTCACTACGAAAAGTTGTGAACTTAAAATAGCGCTATGCAATTAGAATTCAAAACTTTCAAATAATCAGTTTGACTTCAGGATCTGAAAACCTACAGTTTTGAAACTTTTGAGGCATGTAACTATGAGCAGCTATTAATGAATAAATTCCGGTTTTTCTTTTGATTTTGGCAGCCACCTAATTGATTGGTAGCAGTGCGCAAGGCAGCTGACAATGTGCCGTCTATATCTGTATCGTGCCCAAATCAATGGCTGCAATGAGATATGAAAATTATCTGGTCACTATTCTATGCAGAATATTCAAAAAGAACTCGCGGAGACGGAGAAGGGCGAAGAAGTACTTCCTTGATTTCTTAAGACCGGCACTGCTGACTTCAGTAACATATATCTCATTACAAATGGCCCCTTGATTGGAGAGGCATTTCTTGTTGGTAAGGCTCTCTGCACAAAGAAGTTTACTTTGGAAAAAAGGTTTGAAACTTGAACAACCATTATTGAGTTTCTGTCTCTCGCCATCAAACGCAGTTTTTGGGAGAGATCGCTCGCCAACCCCTGTTTGAAGGTATATGAGCTGAAGATTAACTGCACTTCCGTTAGTAAAGCCTATCACTCGTTGGCTATCATGACTTATAATAACGGGCTAAGGCTTGCTTACGTCTTTTTGTATTACGTGTGTGTGTCTGTGTGTGTATGTGTCTGTCCAAAAACAGATCCAAATTTGCATTCATTTCTCTGGGAGAGGATTCATCCACGCGTAAATACCGATCTTACACGAAAAACCTTTAGGAATGAGTAGTTGTTTACGAATCATTCGCGATAGCCTACATAGCGCGGTGAGTTTCAATGTCATTATTATGCGGGAATGAGTAAGGCAAACAGAAAGTAGGGTCAGTGCGAGCCTCTGCTTTGCAGAGGCTCGCACTGACCCTACTCTCTGTATGTGTGTGATGCACTGGTAATATAATAGTGGACATGTTATAAGCATAGAGGGTCATTCATCATCACCAAAAGGCAGTGAGTGGTCACAAATGAATTTTCTAAAAACCATCTTTGGTCCAAGTAATCTGCCACAAGACAGCCTCAATTCCGGCAACTCTGTGAGATTCCCTTTATGTAAGTGGCTATGAATTCAAGCAAATATTTCAGGTTGACTGTGTGTCTAAGACTTGTGTATCCATTCATACAGGAGTAGCAGAAACTCCTGGTCGTAGGCGAGTGTTTAGCACCGCTGACGGGAAGAACTTCTACGTGGCTGACAACGATTTCAGCAACTTTTCGGCAATTCGAACGCTTTTTGACGGTTGGCACCCGATTACTTACTGTATTCTTGTTAAACTAAGTTTGACACGAGCGTGCAAGGGTTGAACATTGTGCAACTTTTTAGCTATGATCAGAACACCACATCATTTTCCAAAGCCTTTGAAAAGTACTCAGCATGCCATCACACGAAATTTCATTGGGTTCATCTATGAAACAGAAAAGTAAAAGAGAGAAAGTACCATACCGCTTTCCTAGATATATTCCTAGATAAACCCAAATTACCATGATGTTGCGACTCCAAAATAGAAAATTTCGAACATTCGACTATCAAATAATGTTCAGAAACTGGCATTTTTGAATATTTAACTTTCGATTAATGTTCGAATATCGAATATCCTTCAACTTTCGAATATTGTTCAGGTATCGAATGAGGACTCTCTATGGGAGACCAAAACATCTAAATAAGTTGTTTTCATTCATTCAAAATGAACACTGTTTATGTTACAATTTATGATGGGAAAACGGTTAGTGGTGACATCAAGACACCTGATAACCTAAAGCGTACTCCCAGGACGGTTGTGAGAAATTTTTCTAAAAATTCAAAAAATGTTTTTGTTTCAAATTGTGTAGTGATGGCTCTGGAACTCACCGCGCAATACTGGCCATTACGGATGTATTATAAACAACTACTCATTTTGAAAGCTTCTCCATGTTTGATCGTAACTTTGAAAGGAGGAACCCTTTGTGACGAAGAATAAATGCGAAATTGGATTGGTTACCCAATACATACCAAGGCTTAAAAGTCGCCACAAAGACAATGGCTACCGTAGTTACATCTCTGAGCATAAAATCTTCACAAATTTTCAGGTAAACATTGACATATCGACTATATATCGTATAGTCATTTCTAACTTAATGTGTGTAGTGCACACTATGCACGCTAACTGACGAACTGCAAAACTAGAACCGGCTCATTTCCAATGACTTCTCCTTGTTTCCTTGTCTCTTTTGTTTCTGTTGATTATATGTTAGTCAATAGAACACATTTCTACACTTTACTAGGTTAGAAAATGCTTCACTGGAAAGTTACCAGTAAGGATGCCGTCGCTAATAGGGCTTAGTGTGCATTCTCACACATTAAGTTAGAAATGATTCGAGGTTACGCATTCATTTCTTTTACGGCGATTTGCCTGTAAATAGACTTTTTGATCATTTTTGATCTATGGTGTGCATATTTACTTGTTGAACAAGCAAACACTATTGCAACAAATCCAAATACAGACGCACTTTTGCGCCCGTTCTACGTACAGTTTTCAAAGGTTCCGCTTATTGGAACGGTTTGGGCTTTTGCACAGTTTTCTTTTTCATGCTGATAGGGTGCTACAGTTGAAATTCTTGCTCAAAATCTTCGCTGGAAATTCTCTACGAATTTAGTGACAGACGGACGTGCACATACACAGACAGACACACGTAAGCAACTTCTAGACCGTTATTATTCATTCATAGATAATTTTTGATGGAAAGTAGAACTCGGACTTGACTGCTTGACGTTAACTGTGTGATATTGGGGCACTAGCCAAACTCATCAGCAATGTGCTAGCACAACGATATGGTAGAGGCACGTCGGGCTGCTGGCATCTTAGTCTCAAAAGAGCACATATTTCTCGTGCTCCTTAACCTGCCGACATCTCTCACCACGCAATCAACAACGAGTGCAAGCATTTTATTTCAGAGGTTGTCAGCGGCACCCCATTTTCAAAATTTCGAGCTCCAATGTAAGCTTCAAGCTTGGCCTTCCTATTTGCACATTTCCTTGCGTAAAGGGAGTTTCTGCCGATATCTCGTCGAGTTGGCGACAGACTGAGGCGAGACCTGCCGCCAATAGGAAAGCCGACTGCCGGCGTGTGTTTGTCCAAATTCCGCATCCATACTCGCTCTGAAAGGACCGTCAGCCTTCGATGGGCAAGACCGTATACTTTCCTTCACGAGCAATCCGCTCACATTCAACTGTAAAGATTTTTGCCTCGAATTGAAATAGATTGATTGCTATTTCCACTCTTTTGGTCATGATTCTCGATCGAGGAAGATTTTGTTTTCTAGAACAGCTTGTTTGTAAAGTATGACAACGTAAACAGAAATGACACATGACAAAGCGCTTAATTTATTTAGATCATTTTCAAAAAACCAACACTTAAATTGTCCTCTACTTTCTTCAGATACAAGCAAAAGTGATTCGAGTCGCTAAAGTCAAAAGAACATTAATGATTACCTCAGATTTAGGTGGTTTATGCGTTGGTATATGCGCAAGCGTAAGATTTGAAGTCACGAAAGACCAGGGGACATTCAAATTTGATATATAATCGCAGACAGATCTTCCAATCATGTTGCCATGTACGCATTTGCAGACGCTGGGCCGTGTGTTGCAGGAAGTCCTGATTCGATTCTCAATCTTCCTGTCTTTATCACAAGCGATATACTGGACAAAGTGAGACAGAAGCTTCTCTTTTGTTCTTTGCATAGGCGTTTGACCACCGACTCTTGATGTCCATATATGTTGCAGCTGGTACTTCTAGCCAGATGTCGCAATGCCAATGGAGGATTCAATTCTGAGAAGGTAGACGCATTGCTTGAAAACGCAGCTGCTGTAGAGCTCCTAAAAATGGTGGATGTAAGTTTTGCCAGCAAAGTTTTCTACCGCAATCTATTCATTTAGGCTTGCATCTATCTTGATGCTCGTCACTTGGCAAGAGAATGTGCGCGCCGTGTGGCTATACTCATAGAAGGCAAAAATACTGTAGAAATGCGCACTCACCTTGAACTTCCGAAAGATCCTCCACTAACAAACGAAATGAATGAAGAGGTGAGTAAAATGACTTAATAATTGTCGCTTTGTGCCCCGAGGTGTTTCGCATTTAGCTTAACAAGATCTCCAGATTTGTGCAGTAATTCGAAGAAAATGGCACCGTAAAAACACTATATTTCTAACAAACCTACAACATTCGAAAAGATTCCATTAACTGATTTGCCTTCGAAAAATAAAACTATCTGAATTTATGTAAGGTTTTTCATGCAAAGAAAGTCTGACTCGAGAGAAGGGGGGAGCTAGTTACGTGCAGGCTGCCAAATGGAAAACGTCGCAACGCGCGTTACAGTAACCGCACGGGGGAAGCAGCAGTGTATGAAAAAACCATGTGCTGACGATCATGCTGGCTGAATTCTCCGAGTGCGGTCACTGGCAGCCTGTTGCACGCGACGTCTTCCAACTGGCAGCCCGCACGGATATGCCCCCGAGAGAAGGGCTTTATAGATATTTTGGAGTGTATGAAACGAAAGATTTGTGATTCATGCATCGTTCAGATTTTGCTTCATTTGCCTAGTACCTGATTTTATTAGCGAGGGAGTACGAAATGCGATGCTTTGCAGTAGATGCTAACAGATTTTTTATCCTTGCATTCTTCTCTCAGAGGGGTTCTGCTGCTCTGGTTAGTCTCTTCCAGACTTCTCGATCTTCAGCTTGATCTTCTTCTATCTCAAGTTCTCTCAAGTCCGCTTTCACTTTGTCTATCCATCTCAATTTCGGCCTCCCTCTTGGCCTCTTTCCAGGTACTTCGACTGACATCACCAACCTAGCGACATGGTCTTCCGCTCGTTTTCTAACCATCGTGTCCATACCATCGCAATCTCTTCTCTTGTATCTTCTTGACGATAGGGGCGACCTTCATCGTAGCTCGTATGGTGTCGTTAGTGACGTGGTCCAGCATCGTGACTCCCGCTGTCCATCTTAGCATGCGTGTCTCCATCACACCAATCCTTCGTTCGTCTTCTCGCATGCACGGCCAACATTCGCTGCCATACAGAGCAGTCGGGCGGACTGTAGTGCGATACAGCTGGGATTTTAGCTTGAGTGGCATCTTCTTATCGCACAGGACTCCTGTGACACTTCTCCATTTCGACCAAGCTGCATTTATTCTGCTGGTTATTTCGTCCTGAAGCGTATCATCTGCGGCGATGCGACTTCCTAGATACTTGAATGTCGTGGTCTTCTTAATCGGGGCGCCTTCGATTTCTATAGTTCCAGGCATTTGGGGTCCCACCTCCATGTACTCGGTCTTGGTGGTGTTGATCTTCAAACCGTGCAGCTCAGTTCATTTTTCCACTTCTGCACCTCGGCCTCCAGTACGTTCCTGCTTCTTGCCATCAGCATCAAATCATCTGCGTACATCAGAGCCCACGGAGGTTGCCGTATGAAGTCTCTAACTATCGTATCCACTGCCGTGATGAAGAGGAGGGGTGACAGTACGGAGCCTTGATGGACTCCGGCGTTGATCTGGAACTCTTCTGATGGCCCTGCTGCTGTTTGTACGTGGCTTCTGGCATCTTTGTATATCATCTTGATCCATCGCACATATTCTTCCGGCACCATGTGCTTTCGTAGTGACCACCATATGATGTCATGGGGCACTTTATCGAACGCCTTCTCCAAGTCCAGGAACGCCGCGTGCAACTCGCATTGCTTTTCCCTGCTTCTTTCCATCATTATTCTGACAGCGTGAATGGCATCTGTTGTACTGCTGCCTTTGACGAATCCACACTGGTTAGGGACTAGCTCCACGATGTTTCGCAGTCGTGCTTCTAGAATTCTTTCGAAGATCTTCAGGGTGTGGCACATAAGTCGGATGAGGCGGTACGTCGAGCAGTCAGCTACGTCACCTTTGTTCTTCCATATTGGTACAGTCACGCTTCTGCACCAGTCGTTCGGAATCTTCTTGGCTTCTATCACCCGATTGAGCAGTCGTGTTAGCCATGTAACTCCAGCTTGACCACATGCTCTCCAGAATTCGTTGGAGATGTCATCGGGGCCTGTCGCCTTGCCGTTCTTCGTCTTCATTATGGCGGCGCGAACTTCGTCTTCGGTGACAGTTGGAACTGGTCCATGCACAGGCTCAGCTGTAGACGTCAATGTGTACTCGTGGCTCATAGACGCTGTCTCGGCGAAGTGTGCTCTCCATCTTTCTCTTATCTCTTGTGGCTTCCTGAGCATATTCCAGTGTTCGTCCTTGATACTGTAGAAGTGCTCTACATCTCTTGTGGCGATTGATCTTGTTTTCGCGAGTCGGTAGATGTCTCGTTCGCCTTCTCGAGTGTGCAGCTTCTTGTAGAGTACCTCCATATACGCTTCTTTTGCCTCTTTGACACTCTTCTTGGCTGCCCGCTTCGCGTCTGAGTATCTCTGCCGTGCCTCTTCTGATTTCAGCTTCTGCCATATTCTGTACGCTGTCTTCTTCTTCTTGATCATGGATTGCACCTCTTCGTTCCACCACCACGTTTCTTTGTCAATTTTTGCCCTTCCTGGCTTCGTACGTCCTAGTAGACTGCTTGCTATCTGATGGACATTCTTCTTCAACTTCTTCCGGAGTCTTCTGATTCTTCTTCCAACTCTGGTAGGGCAGATTCCATGGCTGCTCTGATGTGGTCGTTGTCTTTGAGCTTCCACCATTTGATCCGTGCTACTTGCCCTGTTGTTGTTCTTCTTTGCTTGTCGGCTGGAATATTCAGATCCAGAATTAGTGGTCGATGTTGTGGTATGCAGTCTTCTCCGGGTATGACCTTGGTGTTCTTCACATACTTAAGCTCACTTTGTCGTACTGTCTAGAAGTCTATCTGTGTTTTTCGATTCCCGCTGGCGTACGTGATGAGATAACTATCCTTCTTTACGAAGTATGTGTTTGCCAGTGCCAAGTCATGCGCCGTGGCGAACTCCAGAATACGTTCCCCTTCGCTGTTACGTGTTTCGTATCCGTGATTACCATGACACTTGCTGTACCACTTCGTTGTACACCTACATGCCCGTTGAAGTCTGCTCCTATTAGTAGCATCTCGTCGCGCGGTATCGAGTCGATACAGTCATCGAGCTGCTTCCAGAATTCATCCTTCTCTATCTCCGTGCACCCAAATTGTGGCGCATTTGCGGTTACGACTCGTAGAACTCTTTTCCCCATATCCATTCTGATGCACATTAGTCGATCACTTATTCGATCCACGTCCGTGATTCTACTTCTTAACGCTTCTGAGACCACTCTACCGACGCCGTTCCTGTTGTTGCACGTTCCTTTGTAAAGAAGCTTGTACCCGTCACCTATGTCTCGTGGCTTCTCTCCTTTCCATTTTGTCTCCTGAATACAGGCGATGTCAACCCTACCTCTTCTGAGAAGATCAGCCAACTCGCGATGCCGTGAAGTGAGTGATCCTACATTGACGGTGGCTAGACGTAACGCTGAGAACTTGGATACTCGCCTACGGTAAGCTAGCTTCTTTAACCGTCCCCGCTCACCATGCTGAAACGGTTACCCTAGCATACTGTTCGCATCCGTCGGGCTCGAATGCGTGTCGCCTCCAGGGAACGCCCTAGCTTTTGTTCCGAATACTTGATGAGACATAAAAGAGCATTTGATGCGATCAATGTCTTCTTGAGCCGGCTTGTCGCTTGCTTTCCCTTTGGATTAGCAGCATGACGCTGGATTCGTGGGGCGAGAGTTTTGCCAAGGAGATTAGGCCCACCGCGGAACCGAACCTGTGACCTTCCTCGCCGTGGTCAAGGGCACTAACCTCTCGGCCACTCCGCCCCCAGATGCTAACAGATGCAATGACAATTAGAGCGAAAAGATTCAGCAGGTACACTAAGTTTCGACCGGCGGATTGGCGAGCGTCCTCCTCGCAACGGTTCGCGCCGTTTCGCAGCTACACTACATCATATCGTTCTCAGAACCCAAATCTGCGTCTCTTCACTCCCCTTAGTCTTAGCTTGGCGAAATGCGAACGCAATGCCCTCGCGAATCCTCCAGCGGTGAGCTCGCGCCGCTCCACGTAGATTGCTTCGCTTGTTCAGGGTTGAAACCGACTGTACACCAACATCTTATATATAAAGCTGAATGTGTGTGTGTGTGTTTGTGTGTGTGTGTGTGTGTGTGTGTGTGTGTGTGTGTGTGTGTGTGTGTGTGTGTGTGTGTGGTGTGTGTGTGTGTGGTGTGTGTGTGTGTGTGTGGTGTGTGTGTGTGTTCCGAATAGAAATTTTTATGTCTGAACCGATTAGGACTAAACTTGGCACAGATACACCACTTCGGGGGGGGGGGGGTGTCATAGGCTACTTTTCGTCATAGAGCTGCGCGGGTGGGAGTTGGCCGGGCGGAGCCCGCCAAGACAGCTAGTTATCAATATGACTGCATGCGCCCACTGTGTGCCTAAGAGATATCATGTGCCCGCAAATTACGTCAATTATGTTGAAAAAGTTGTTGCATTGATCAGATCAACAGTGTGAGGAGATAACGTCGACTTTGAAAAAAAGGAAAGTAGAACAAAACGACATTATTGCACGTGATATAAACCTAAGACATTCGTCACCAAAGCAAAGCACCTGATTTTTGTGGAAGCAAAAGACGAGGAGTTTTCAATGTTCTTCAAGTTTTCCAGCGCTCATCTGCGGAAGTTACAGGGTTTACTGTAACTTAACTGGAAAGATTTAACCTAATTCCACGCTCACAAAACGCAGGGTTTTGTTCTAGAGTCAACCAGCCTAACCTAAGCGCGCCATGGATTTTCGCGACGGGAGCCCTACATCGTGCTGCTATTGCCTTAGAAATTGTCCCGCATAAACAACGTTTCCCGAAACACAGTGCGACTGAGCGGCTCTCTTCAAAGCGAAGAAAGTGCGCCTTCACGCGTGAAAATAGGGTAAACCTCTAATATCTGCACTTCCTTTCGCTAACTATAGGAAATTATCAAGAACCGGTGGTCACTGCGGTGCACACGAGACACGGTGAAACGCTTGCCTTGTATAAACCGGGTTTGAGAATTTGTGCTCTCGCGACGTGTTGACCGTTTCAGCCGCAGCGACCCCTGCCAGTGTGTGCGGCCGACGAATCGAGGATACTTCAAACACTGGAACCCACATATACTAATATTTCTGAAACCAGAGGACAGAACATTTCCGATGACGTATCGCTGCTCATCTACAGAAGTTACAATTTTTGAATTAATTTGTCAGCGTAAATCATCGGGACACGGTACTTATCGTTCTGATTTCTTTGCCAACACATGCAATGCCAGCTTACAGCAATCGCTCTCTCTACATTGTAAGAAACCCGTACTGAGTGATTCTACAACCAGATTGATCAAACTTTTCTGTAGGTGGTTTTGCAGTCTCTTCATCTCAAAACTTAAGCCACAAAGCTCATGTACAGTCGAGTATATTTTTCGCTTAATATAGTGTGCTTGCACAGTAGGTGAAATGCGGTAGAATTGCGCGTGAAGAAGATAGGTACGCCTGTGAAGCCTTCCAGCTGCGCGCGCAGAATGCCGCCATTACTGGCATGGCTAATTATTTACGCGCAAGTTTTACCGCATTTCACGCGCAGTGCAAGCACACTATATTAGGCGGAAAATCTACTCGACTGTACATTTCCTCTACATTTCTAAGTTATAGTAATGCTGAGCTCAAAAACCCTGAAGCTTCATTGATCACCCGCGTTAAGTCTTGTCATACTCATAAAGAGCTCAAGTTGTGTTTACCTGCAGCTAAGCGCAAAATGCAAATTCTCTTGTAAGGCTTTTGTTACTTGTCTAAGATATGGCTAAGACGGACGGCTCAAAATGTTATAAAAATTCGTAATTATAGTTCGTTGTTCGGAATGACGTTTGTTTCTCCAGAGCTCCATTCTTGCTGAAAACCGCTGATCTCAACTTTAATACTGTCACACGTTTTAGAATTAATAGTTGTAGTACTTCTTGTGTAGTGGCTCTAGTATCAAGTGTACTATTAAAAAATAAAGTCCTATTCTTACCGCTGCTATGAAAATTTGCAATCATCCTACTATAATAACGCGCTAAGGTCGTCTGTTTTTTTTGTGTTTGTGTCTGTCTGTATGAAAATCTGACTGTCACGAAATTCATAGAGGAAGCCGCAACTAAGCTATCGGGCTGCAATTTTGCATAACATACCGTGCCAGCGTGTAGTTCCACCAGGCGCAAGCACGAGCCGGTTCGATATGCGGGTCCCTCAAAATTTGCGCGTCAAACGGATCCACGCCTTTTGGCACGCAAAACTGGGTCGCTAATTCGACTTTTTGCAAAGTTACGTTTGCCTGACAAGTAACTCTGCGCGCCATGAATTCTAGCCCAAAAAGTGCTCAAAGAGTTTGCATTTTTGCGAAAACAGCGCCAAAAAGTGATAAACGCGTAGATAGTCGATTTGGCAAGGTTTTATTTGAAAAAAATGAGAAGATTTTTGCACTGAATTGTAGCCCAAGGTGACTATTATCCGTTTGACGATTATCAAACTAAAATAAATTCAGTAATCCGTTCACATTCGCATTTGTTTCCTTAAAACAAAGTTTTTTTCTCAAAATTACCGATCTTCCATTGAGATGCTTCATGAATAAACAGTTGTTTACGATTCATTTGTGATGCTCAGCATAGCGTGGTGAGTTTCAAAGCCACTCTCATGCGAACATGAGAAAGGCATACGGATAGGGAGCCAGTGCGAACCTCCGCGAAGCGGAGGTGACGCACTGGTCACTTATAATGACGGGCTAAGGGTTGTTTACGTTTGTGTGTGTGGTGTGTGTGTGTGTGTGTGTGTGTGTGTGTGTGTGTGTGTGTGTGTGTGTGTGTGTGTGTGTGTGTGTGTGTGTGTGTGTGTGTGTGTGTGTGTGTGTGTGTGTGTGTGTGTGTGTGTGTGTGTGTGTGTGTGTGTGTGTGTGTGTGTGTGTGTGTGTGTGTGTGTGTGTGTGTGTGTGTGTGTGTGTGTGTGTGTGTGTGTGTGAATTTCTGTCTGTCACGAAATTCGTAGAGTGAGTTCCAGCAAAGGTCTTGAGCTAGAATTTTGGTAGTAGCACCCTATCAGCATGTAGGTAAAATATGCAAAAGCACAAGCCGATCCGACTACTGGAACCTGTGAAAATGTGCGCCAAACGGATCCACGCAACATTTCGCGCGCCAAATTGGGCTGTAAATGTACTTTTTTCAAAGTCATGGTCTCGTTTGCATCCGCAAACCATGGACTCCAGCCCGAAAAGTGAGCAAAAAGTTTACCTTCATGCAAGATTGGCGCCAAAAATTAATAATTGCGTAGATGATTGATTTGTCAAGGTTTTACCTGGGAATGTGAAAAAATTTTTGCTCAGAGATGTAACTCACGGTTGTCATCATCTTTATGGCGACTATCAAGCCATTATGTCCCCAGTAACTGATTCAAATTCGCTTTTAATTTTTTGAAGAATACTTCCTTTCCTCAAAATCACCAATCTTACAAGAAAAACTTTTGGAATGAGTAGTTATTTACATTTCATTCGTGAAGATCGGCGAGGTAAGTTTCAAAGCCATTATTTTGCGACTACGAGGAAGGCTTATGGATAGCAGAGCCAGTGCGAGCCTCTGCGAAACATATTATCACACTGAGGAACATTTTGTTTTATTTATTCAACTCGTCAATTTCTGTAAGAGAAAAATCAAGAATTTTGAAAGCATTCTTTGTACCACGTCAAAAATTCGATTTTCTGTGACATGCATGAAAGTGTTACAATCACGAATAAATCGGAAGTGTGTACGAGTTAGTTGACCAAATTTATCAAAATTTAAATTACAAATAGAAATTAATGATATTAACTGATTTGAAATCTAGAGTATTGTAACGATTTCAAAAACGAAAGAATTTTTAAATGCCAAAGCAGAGTTTTGCTTCATTTCGCCTTGCTTGGTAACCTGGGTTTAGCCGGTTGCGATGGCTGTAAACGTTATATACTTTACACCTCTCCACTAAAGTTCAAAGGTTCTTTGTGCCTACCCCTATGTACTGCGAGCGTAGAAGTAAGCCCTCGGTTGGAGCCTGAAAGATTTGCTCTACACCTGGATCGACAGTCTCTTCTGTTTTGGTCGTTTTTACAGTCTTGTCAACGGTTCTGTGAACACTTTTGGTCTTTTCAATTGTTTTCTTCCCTGAAGCCTTGCTTTCGCCTTTCTTTCTCTTCCCACTATGAGTGTTAACCTTAGATGTTCATAAATGGCACTGTTATCACTTACTGTTCCTTGAACGGGTTCTGCTCTTCTTCCAAAGAACGGAGATCGGTCTTGATGTCCTCTTCCTGCAACAAAGATCATCTCAGAAGCTGAAAGCTTTTGAATTTATCTCTTGGCTTTTAATAAAGATTAGATTCCATTGGAAACTATTTACTCTTTGGGAAGAATGTGGCCCCCCACATTTGAAAAGAATGCGGCAGCCCCACAACAACAAAGGCTTTGCGGCCCAAAAGTCTGAATCAAATTGGCGACATATATCCTCGACTACCTGCAGTTGTGAATTTTGTACTTTGCGTAGGTTGATACTATTGGATTCGACCCAAAACAACTTATAGTGGGTGCGTAGCAAGTGGTACCCAGGCAGCCGACTGCTGCCGCAGCCAGCCGCCAGAGCTGCCAGCAAAGCCGCTGCAGATGGTGCAGTAATTACGCTCGTCGTCTAGAACTCTTGCCGAAAGCTTTTCTCGCGCCTCGCCGCTCTGAGGTGCGAAATTAGCCTCGGGAAAGCCTGATCTTCTCGATATCTATATTATTTTGAACGCCAGAAAATTAATGTTTTTTGAGAAACATGCAAATAAACAAGGGTAAACAGGGGAGAGACTTTTTAAAGGAGATGACAAATTCACATTACTTCAAAAGCTTAAAGGTAGCAGAAGCTGAAAAGTTCAGAAATTTCTCAAATTCCTAGATTTTCTCGCTTTTACGTCGAAGAACGGAAGAGGACAATTACAGGAAAATGCCATGGATATAAAGGTAAGAAACTTTTGTCAAAATGATTATTTCATACATAGTGGTGTTAAGCGAGCTAAATAGGGCCAATTAGGTCATTCAAGTTGAGTAGGTCAATGATAAAAGATGAAAATATGCCACATCTGTTGGTATGAAAGGGAATATTACCAAGAAGGATGCACTATTTTGATCTACACAGTTCACTTTTCCAGGTATTTTGAGAAAATAAAAGTATAATGAAAAAATTCGAAATCCAGAACTCATTGCAAGTAATGAAAGTTTAAAATCAAAGAACCACCTCTAATAACCCTTCAACAAGACCGCAATTCGAATTCTGAAGCGTTCATGGAAAAATGGATTCGATTTTCAAGAATTCTTCGTTGGAAAATCAAGGATCCTCAAAACTACAGCGTCAATTGATATTTATTGTACTTTGATTTCAATATTTGTAACAGAAAAAAGGTTTGAATTCCTATTTATCCATTTTTGTAATTGTTTGTGAATTTTTGGAAATTTTCCGGTGTAGTTTGTGTTCGACTGTCTGGTTCTCAATAAATATTTCTTTTCTCTGCTGTTCAAAATGACATAGATATTGTGTTTTTTTACCGCTATATCTATGACATTTTTCTGTAATTGTTCTCGTCCATTCTTCGACGTAAAAGCGAGAAGAAATGTCTAGAAGTTGAGAATTCCTATTTTTTTCAGCTTCTGCTTCCTTTGAGTCTTTGAAGTGATTTGATTTTGTGATCACTTTCTTCTAGAAAAACCCTCCTCTGATTACCTTGTTTTATTTGCATGTTTCTCGAAAAACATGAAGTTTTTGCTGTTAAAAATGATATAGATATCGAGGATATCACGCTTTCATGAGGCTGACTTCGCACCTCAGAGCGACTAGGTGCGAGAAAACCTCTCGGCAAGAGTTTTAGACGACGAGCGTAATTACTATACCATCTGCAGCGACTTTGCCGGCAGCTCTGAGGTTGGCTGCGGAAGCAGTCGACTGCCCGGGTACCACTTGCACGCCTCCCACTTATAGTTCTATTGCCAGTAAGATTTGAGTTTAAGCTTTGAAATAAGATCTGCTACTAGTTTCTTCGAGTAGGTGTGGCAAGTAGTTCGGTTACTTAGTCAATATGAGGTTTCAGGAAGAACGTCAAAGTGGTCGATTAAGCATTGAGAAAGGTAATCTTTTCATGAAAAAGCAAGGACAAAGCAACTGTTCAAAGAATAGAAGCATAAAGCTCATTGCAAATATTGATTGGAGGGCTTGTTCAACGATTCCCCTAATGGCAGCAAAACGCTTCAGCAAATTCGCGGTATTCCAACTGCACCACTCTAGCTCCAGTTCAATTAACTTCCGCTTTGCTAAGGGTCGCGTCAAACCTGAGCGTATGCAGCGTACGTACACGTGCGAAAGATATGGAGCGTAGGCAGCGTACATCGCGTACGCCGCGTACGCCGTGTAGTTTGGCCAATCCTCCTCATATCAAGGAAATTTTACTGCTTTCTTAAAGCTACCGATTTTACAAACGCCCTTATAATAAATCCCAAAAAGTGCCATCTCATAAGTGCTTGCCATAATGTTGGCGGAACTGGAGACAGTTGAAGTATCTTTAAACCTCCATTTTGGAGCATTGTTTCCTGCACTCCCACGTTAACAAAAACCACTACGCGTGTAAATATGTCGGCAGAGCTCCGCCTACTCTTCCCTATCCGTGCGCATCGGAAGAGATCAGTATCTGTGTCCCACCTGTATGTCTGGGCGTCAAACAAAATCATATTTCCATTGTACCTGTTTTGGATCTCAGTGCAACGTTAATTTCCCCGAATTTCCCCGACCATCTACAATTCCGCTTTTCTCTCTCTCCCTCTCGCTCTCTTTTTCTGTTATCCTGCTCAGGATTGTTCCAAACCAAAAGCTGCCTTCTCTAGATGCCAAGAGAAGAGAAATTCATTTACATAAGAGAAAAGGATAATTTTTTGATTGAAAGAAAGAAACATTTTCAATCCAATGCTGGATTGGCACTAATCTTGTGATCTGATAAATTCGTATCTTCTTGCTACCTCTACTTCTTCATTCAAAGCTGGTTATGAAATTTGGCTTTTACAAATGTCTTAGTGGTTTCAACTATGAAATGGTCAGAGAGACAAACGAAAGTAAGAGGAACAATATCAAGCTTCAAATACTTCAGTTGGTTCGGCAAAAATTAAGACATTGTTGGTAAGAACTCTAAAAATGCTAACAAAGCTTGTCCATTTTTGCTAATTGAGAAAGCACATGCTGACGTTCCCAAGCTATCTATTCGAAGAAAAAAACCTCAAGAAAGTGATTTTGCTGATTTCTACTGTTACCTTAGAACAAGACTTTTGTAGGAACATCCAGTTAGCACGAGATTTTCTCACTAAGTAAGATTAGGTAATGAATCTGGGTATCAACAAGTTCGGTTTTTGCAAGGTTTTAGATATTGGCTTAAAAAATTTCCTTTTCTTCGGTTCGCACACAATCCTTCTATAATAGACAGCCCAAGAAGCATCTGTATTGATCGAAGTGAATCCTGGAAAACTAGAAGTTATGAACCAAAGTCTAAGTCTACTTAGGGATGACTAAATAAGCAATGTCTCCGCTGTAGTGTGATCGCTGCGAGTTTGTTTGAATATACACAAATCTGGGCAACTTAACAAAGCGAAGGATATGTAGGAGAATGATGAAGTAGAAGAAAATGTCATGACTCGAGAGTCTCTCGAAGCTCTCTCTTTTGTGATGAAAACACTGTTTCTTATATGTGCGCCAAACATTAAAGGCAGCGTCCTGGCAAAGTGATGGGTACTGAGAATATACAGGTCTGAAATAGCAGACCCCCAGCTATTCTATCAGTGAAGCCTGGAGCAAAAAAACTACAGAAGTCTTGGACTCCGTCTCCTTTCTGCGGGTTTCGCACACTTACACGCAATTTCCACCTAATGCGGGCATGGAGAACATTGTAAAATTTTCGCCGTTTTCTCGAACTGAAAATCCTAGATATGGGTTCAACAAACACGGGAAGATGGCTCCGAAAAGGTGAAAAACTGGAAGAACATTGCCCTTGAGCTACAGCCGCCACAGTCATGCAAGGACAACACATTGCGAATTACAAGTCCTCACCTTTTCATCTTGCTGTATCTTGAACCCAGAGAATGCCGGCTTTTTTGATAGTTTTGAGTAAGTGCCTAAATTGGTTTTATACTTCGAAAGACAATTATTATGCATCAACAAACAACTTCGATTACAGCGTACGCTTGAGCTTGGTGCGGCACCTTTTATCTTTACATGAAAAGCACGTGCGGTGTATACATTTCGATAAACAGGGACTAGTTTCATGCAGCTTTAACGGCGGACATTCACTGATCATAGCAACACTCTTTGGTGTTTTGCAGTGTTTATCCAACGCTCTGCAGCTTCAGAAAGAGCATGGATCGGAGAAAATTTGGTTCTTCGCAGTTTCAACAGCTGCAATGATAGCTATATATTAGGTCGTTCCATAAGTTCGAAGCGTTTTCATTTTCGTCGTCGTTTTCTGGTGAAGCAGTTGGTTTACGGCAAATTATCTGGTATTAGTCGAAACGGCCAAGTTTTTTCTACAAAACCTGCTTGTTGTTTTTGAAGCAATCCTGATGATCTTTGGCTCATAATTTCTCAAAGCAAAGTTTTTTTGAGTGGCAGAAAATGGCCATTTCGGCACCTGTGCAATTCGCATTCCGTCCATATCCCACAAATATTTCTCTGTATGTGTTGTCGGAGTAGCAAGTAACAAGCAACGCTGATGTGCTGACACAATGGTGTCCTGCCAATATGCTAGAACTGTTTGAACGAAGTTTCAAAGGTTGCTATCTTCGACTGCTGCAGCTTGAGTTTTACGCGTCGTTTTGTAACAGAATGTTCTCGTCCTGCTATCAAGCCTTGAGCGATGAATAGCTTTGTCTAGGTGGTGCAAAAGTTTGAGTGCAACCGGTGACCAGCGATTTTACACTTTCCCGAAAAATTTTGGCTCAGAAAACTTCCTCATTCCGGCCAGGCGCAAAACATCTACACATACCGTAAAAGTGCGCTCTATCATTCTCTGTAGCGTCTCCCTTGACAAGGATTCTTGTTCTACGTGCATCATAGTCCGGTAAACAGTATTCTTCATCACCCATAACAATTCCAAATAGAAATTTTCCTCTCGTAATTTCCGTATACAACGCTGAAGACGAAGATGCTGAAAGCGCCATTTTTTGCTACACAAAAAACTCTGCTTTGAGCAGTCACAAAACAAAGGTCATCAGGTTTACTTTGAAAATAAAACACAGCTCTTGTAGAGTAGAATGGCTCTTTCAGAGGGTACACACATTTTGCGGTAAACCTACCGCTTCACCAACAAAACAACGACAAAAATAAAAACGCTACGAACTTATGGAACGACCTAATATATATAGGCTGTATCACCTACCATCGGTCGCACGAATCCAGAAAGGAGCCGCGGGCGTGCGCCCGCACACAGCAGAAATGTAATCGAGCTCAAAAACTAGCTTTTTGCTCAAACTTGTGAACGTTTCATTACTGTATTGATCATCTTCCTCTTGCCACACATTCAGATTCGTTTAAAGTTCTTGTCTCAATCATGGTACTCCTCAGATGACGGCATATCCGATAATGAGTATTTTAGCAGAATAACTATGGTTTTTGTGTGAGCCTAAGAATGGTCACGTCAATTCACTTCGAGACTAAGAATTGCGAACCTTATGCACACATGTAATCATTTCCTGTTACTTCTGCTTTACCGCGGATATGTTTTACCAGTGCATAAGGTACTATAGGTTGGTAGGTTGGTAAGGTACTATAGGTTGCGACTACGAGGTTGGTATATGGATAGTACAGCCAGTGCGCACCTCTGCTTCGCAGAGGCTCGCACTGGCTGTACTATCCATATACCAACCTCGTAGTCGCAGAATGATGGCTTTGAAACTTACCTCGCGATGCCGATCATCACGAATGAAATGTAAACAACTACTCATTCCAAAAGCTTTTTCAAGTAAGATCGGTGACTTTAAGGGAAAGAAAGTATTCTTCAAAAGATTAAATGCGATTTTGAATCAGTTATTGGGGTTATAATGACTTGATACTCGCCATAAAGATGATGGCAACCGTGAGTTACATCTCTGAGCAAAAATTGTCCCGCATTCCCAGGTAAAACCTTGACAAATCGCATCTACGCAATTATTCCTTTTTGGCGCCGATCTTGCGCGAAAGTAAACTTTTTGCTCACTTTTCGGGCTAGGGTCCATGGTTTGTGGATTTAGTTGCTAAACGAAACCATGACTTTGAAAGAAGTCCAATTACAGGCCCATTTTGGCGCTTGAAATGTCGCGTGGATCCGTTTGGCGCACAATTTCACAGGTTCCAATTATCGGATCGGCTTGTGCTTTTGCACATTTTACCTACCTGCTGATAGGGTGCTACTACCAAAATTCTAGCTCAAGACCTTTGCTGGAACTCGCTCTACGAATTTCGTGACAGACAGAAATTCACACACACACACACACAAACGTAAACAACCCTTAGCCCGTTATTATAAATTATGATAATGACAATCGGAAAAAATGTTTAAGACTATTGAACAGGTGTACAATCCGCCCTATTATTAGGTTGGCATATAAGTGATTTTTGAACGTAGAGCATTCGTACTCTGGCAATATAAGGATTATGATGTAATCTGCAAATGCAGACATTTTTGCCGAATTTGCCGTCTTACGTAAGGTTACGGTAGGTTTACGTAAAATGGGAAAAATTATTACGTTAGATTTTGCTGTACTTGGCCTGCGGGAGCTATTGACATGCTGATCACAAAAATGAAACACTTTTCGCATAAGAAGGCTTCTTTTGTAAGGTAAAGGGATGAATTTTTATCTTAGCGACAACTTTATGTGATACTCGTGTTTATAATGTTGGATTACCCTATTGTGCAAAGTTTTAGCGAATTCTGAGATTTCACAGCTTAGTTGTTGACAAACGTCCCTCCAAATTCAACGCATTTAACTTGCTCAACTTCTCGAAGGCGCCTTACCTTCATTTATCTTCAAATTTCACTCTTTTTTACTGTTTATTATGTGAGCTTCTAGCTACATGCTACTATAATCCCCATTGATATGTTACTTAGATTTCGGCTTTATGTTTGCCAAAAAAAACCTTGAAACCTCGATTTTCGGGTGGTTTTCAAAAATGCTTAATTTTTCTACTATGTAATCAAAAATTGAATGCTTTGCGCATGAAGCATAGATCACAGTCCACATGACGCTAGAGAACAAGAGTGTTATATTGAATAAGAAGAAAGTTAAGGGGAAAACTTTCAAAACTTATGTGCCAACCTAATACATTTGTGTAGCGTTTGCGATCCGCTCTTTTTACTCTTCTGATCTTACTGTTTGAAAGAAAATTAGTGTCATTCAAACCAAGTATTGTCTGGTATATTAGCGATAGCGAAATCGAGGAGCTGCATTGATGTGGTCAAAATATGAGAAGCATTACGTAATAAGTTTGCAAACGTAAGGCCCTGGCCAGACTTCGCTCAAAAGCGCTCAAAAGCGCTCAAAAGCGCCCAAAAGCGCTTAGGGGTACTTTTGGGCGCTTTTGAGCGAAGTCAGGCCAGGGCCTAAGGAAACGGCCATACGCTGCCGACGGTTGTCGGTGTTGTCGGAGTTGCCGAGGTTGCCGGTCGTTGTAGGACCTCATGGTATCCTCCACGTTTCGCGCGCTCTCTACTGTCTCTGAGCAGCCCAACAACCCCGACAACACCGACAACACCGACAACCGTTGCCGCAACTTATGGCCGTTCCCTAAAAGTGAGGGTTTAAGACACATATGAACGAGAAACACTTGAAATAAGATGAGTCGAGCCAGTCACAGATCTGATCGTCACACACTTTCGTGCTTTTCGATGACTGCGTCGTGTTCGCCACCCTAGCTCATGAGATCTCACGACCGGTGCTGCCAGTGCCGATATAGCTTATAGTCCCTCATTTCAAGTCAGTCTGTGTACTTTCAACATTTCTCTACTGCACTGGAAGAAACACGAAAACGGATGCGCGAAGTAGTGAAATAATATTGTACTCTTATTGTTAGCCCACAGGCATGACAAAGCATAAAGAAGTAGTGCTATTGACAGAGTGACTGCTGCAATGAGGAATGTGTTCAGTCGCTGACAGTATTTCGGTCCAGGACATTAAAGACAGTGGCCCGGCAGATTCTCGACCCAGTAATTCCCTGGGCTGATCTCGAAAATCCAGTTGCGGAGCGCAAGTAAAAACCAGCATTTCCCAGGGTACTTCATTTTTGTATTTGAAAGAGTGGAACACTTCTCGCCAAGGTTGAAGAAGCAGAGTCGTTGCGGACCATCATGTTTATAACATTGCGACATGCCGCTTGTGATAGGGGAAGGGAGAGAGCGCTCGTCTGAGCGCGTGTAAGGATGGCTTGCGCGTGCAGGTTTGCGAAAAATTTTCTTGGCAGGGGCAGCTTGTGCGCTCGAACTTGCCTTGTTTCCATATATGGGATGTAAGCAAACCATAATTAAGATAATTTAGAAGCGATAGTAAATTGATAGAAAATAACATGAAATGTTGTGCTGTTGTTGTTTAATCAAGGTTCGAAGTGGCAACCTTGATCTCTTCTGCCGACCTCCCGTTCATTCGGTTGTGTAAAATCATGAAACAAGCAACTAAGCAAGAGACTACTATGATTGTTCTATGATTGTTTCATTTTGAACCAAACTAAGAAATCTACCAAGTTAAAATCGTCGTGTTGTCATCAGTTGAAGTGATGAAAGAGCTCTTCGTTCCATGAGACGCAGTCGTGAAACCACTAGATCATTGTTTGAAATGAAAAAAAAGTGCCCCTGACCACTTTTTCATTTGAAACCATCGTACATAATAACGCGCTAAGGCCGTCTGTTTCTTTGTGTGTGTCTGTGTTTCGTGTGAAAATCTGTCTGTCACGAAATTTATAGAGGAAGCTGCAACTAAGCTATTGGGCTGCAATTTTGCATAACATACCGTGCCAGCGTGTAGTCCCACCATGCGCAAGGACGAGCCGGTTCGATAAGCGAGTCCCTCAAACTTTGCGCTTCAAACGGGTCCACGCGCCTTTTAGCACGCAAAACTGGGTCGCTAATTCGACTTTTTGCAAAGTTATGATCTGCCTGACAAGTAACTCTGCGCGCCATGAATTTTAGCCCAAAAAGTGCTCAAAAAGTTTGCTTTTTTGCGAAAACAGCGCCAAAAAGTGATGAACGCGTAGATAGTCGATTTGGCAAGGTTTTATTTGAAAATACTGAAAAGATTTTTGCACTGAAATGTAGCCCAAGGTGACTATTATCCTTTTGACGATTATCAAACTAAAATAAACTCAGTAATCCTTTCACATTCGCATTTGTTTCCTTGCAACAAAGTTTTTTTCTCAAAATTACCGATTTTACATGGAGATGCTTCACGAATGAACAGTTGTTTACGATTCATTTGTGATGCTCAGCATCGCGTGGTGAGTTTCAAAGCCATTCTCCTGCGAACATGAGAAAGGCACACGGATAGGGAGCCAGTGCGAACCTCCGCGAAGCGGAGTGACGCATTGGTGATATGATGATTTGGTACTTTTCCGTTATCCGGACCCATTTTTTCGAAGAAGGATATTGCTTTTATCCTTGTATCATATTTTGTCCCAGCTTCACAAGCTTCAACCTTCTGCCATGTGTCAAAAAAATTTGAAATGTCATCTACATGAGTTTGTGTTTCGTACCTAGCGATGTAAGTTCAATCTGATTTCGAGTTAATTTTGACCTCATTTCGACCAAACAGTTTCAAAGTGAACATTGTCATAATAATAAAGACATGCTATCATCGGTGAACAGATTAGAGACTTGCTCAGGATAGTGAAGTGCGCTAGGATTCCTTCTTTTAAGAGGCGAAACAAGCAGCAACAAGGTACTCCAAGCTTTCATTTATATTGTTTTCGGCTGAATTCGCATGGCGAGAAGGGTTTGAAGAGAATTACATTTTTGAATCACTGCTGAAGGCAAACAAGATGTCCTGGGATAAGTTCATGAAAGTTCTGCGCTTATGTAAAACAGCTAAACAGCTCTAAAATGATCACAAGTTCTCTTTTTCCCACCGAAAATGATTTCGAAACAAACATGTCGAAACGGACCAAAACGTGTCAATTTTTTTTGACACGCGGCAAGAAGGCAGTCCTCGTAGAATCTGTGAAAAATTATTCTTAGACTAAAGAACGTACAATGTGAGAGACTTCTGAAAAAATGAGTCTGGATAACGGAAAAGTACCGATGATTTCACAAGCTAGTAAGAGTGAGGAGGAACATTCTGAAAATTACTTTAAGAAGGCTCACCTGATTACTCCTGAGATAAGATTATGGAAAATTGCAAGACTAAAGACCGAACTGCGAATTTGGTGAAGTGCAATGAAGGCGGTCAAGCATGAGAATGACTGGAGGTTTGATCGCCTTCAACGACATCACTTTGCTAAAGTTAATATCAAGTGGAAAATTGTCCATAAATGCCCACGTCTTGGATTTTGACTAGTTAAGTCGTAGTTTCGATGTAAAGCTGCTGATTACCTCGTGTTATGATAACGCGGTTGGGATCACGGTTTCAACCAAATTACTACTGCCCCGGATGTTCTGGCTTTGCAGAGCCACTGCGAATAGCTAAGTTATTGCGAATGCTAGAATCCTCACTCTTGCAAAGTGAACAAAGAATTCATTTATGGAAGAGCTTCTAAGCGGAACTTACTTCTTTTACTGCTCGTTGACGTACTCGATGAGGACTTGGTGGGATCAACGGGTTTAAGGGAACTTTTAACACTCTTTGGCTCTTGCTTGGATGCTAAAATTAAACATGCTCTTGCTTTTTCCAGTTTATGTAAAAGATACCTTCGCTTGCAGACTTCGTTTTTGTCGCACCTTTTGAACACTAAAATAATACGTTGTTTGTTAAGATGCAAAAATCGAGTGGGGGTGTGCTCAATGTCTTAGACTCCAACTACGAAGTTTGGCTTGACCAACAACACCCTTTCTGGTCCTTATCGCAACACGTCTCGCGCTAGGGGCCTGTCCTACACAAAAACTGTCGCTTCAGTTATCGGTCAGCCTATAGTAGACGTCATCCGTCTAGTCACCTCGGTGCGATGTGTGTCACTGCACACAATTTTGAAATCCCGGATGAGGTGCTGGGTTCGCGCCGTGACGTACTTGCACCAAGAGCGCATACGGCTAAAATTCGACGCCAAATTCTGCCTGTTGTTCTTATTTCGGTGTTTTTTTATTTTTAGCTGCACGCACGTTTAGTTTTCGATGATTTGTTACCTTTATACCGTGCACTGCCGTTTCAGATCGCATATTTCAGAATTTTTCACTTTTGCTTCCAGGTAAGGGAGGCAAATGGGCAATCCTGCAGGATAAGGTAAGTGCGCTTTCTTCAGTATTGTCGGATGTAGAAAGAGTAGAGTGTATCTTAGGCAATGCGAGTTTCAACTTCCTTCTGACTAATATCGAAAATTTTATTGTTTTTTGTGGCGAATTTTCAATGAGAAGCTATTTTCAATTGCAGGATTGCTTCAAGTAGACATCTTTACTGTTGATGCGATGTTTGTGAACTGCGTGGATCTTATTAAGCATTGCAAAGATATTTGGATGGATGGTAAGTCAAGTGCGAATCCCCCTCTTTGCTCCCTTGATATGTCCTGTTCGCTCATCTCCTCTCCTCGGTTGTCTGGCTGTAGTATGTTTGATCGGCTCCCAGATCTCCTTGTGGAGGCAAGTTGTAAACCTTAACTGATTTCAAGGATAAACTTGTTGGAACTCCACGTCATAGCATTGTTTTTCGACCTCTCTTGCAGTCAGAAAATCGCTACGCTTTAAGTTGGCAAAACCCCGCCTATACACGAATCGTGGAGTCGATGATACAGGGACTTTCAACCTGAGTGTCACGGCTGGCGCCGCTTCTGAGCCACCTCGCGCTTTCTCGCCGCGTTACTTTCAGCGGATACGGTGAGGGCCAATTACAAAGTAACAACTACGGTGCGGGCCTAAGGCAAAACAACGGCAGCAACAACAAACCAAATGACTACAACAACACACACGCAACGACAAAGTCTCGCCGACCGTGACACTCAGATTGAAAGCCCCCGTACAATTGTAATCCGCAGTTGCGACTACGAGCTGGTTTGGCCGGAAACGCTATGGCGAAAGAAAAAGGAACAAGGAAAGTGCGCTGAAGATATAATAAAAAAACTGAATGTGATAGCAAAAAAATCCAGGTACGAGCAAATCAGGAAAAGTCATAAACGAACGTAAAATACTCAACTCACTATCATCTTGCGCCTCTGCGATGCTACTGACAAATTCAGAAAAAGCTCTTAATGAAAATTTGGCACAAAAAAACAAAATTTTCGATATCAGTCAGAAGGAAGTTGAAACTCGCATTGCCTAAGAGGCACTCTACTCTTTCTTCATCCGACAATACTGAAGAAAGCGCACTTACCTTATCCTGCAGGATTGCCCATTTGCCTCCCTTACTTGGAAGCAAAAGTGAAAAATTTTGAAATATGCGATCTGAAACGGCAGTGCACGGCATAAAGGTAACAAATAATCGAAAACTAGACGCGCATGCAGCTAAAAAACAAAAAAAAGCACCGAAATAAAAAAACGGGCAGAATTTTGCGTCGAATATTAGCCGTATGCGCACTTGGTGCAAGTACGGCACGGCGCGAACCCAGCAGCTCATCCGGGATTTCAAAATTGTGTGCAGTGACACACATCGCACCGAGGTGACTAGACGGATGACGTCTACTATACTGTTCTATGTGCAATTCCTCGTCTTATAACAGTGGGATTTTGCTATATACGAATTCTATGTGAGAAAATCTGTGCAGTGAAGCGATGAGCACCTTTAACCAATTGAATCATAATTACATTCGCGAAAAAAGCAAATTTGCACTCACTCTTACCAGCAGGGCTATCATCACCGACATCAGATAGATAAAAAGGACCGTTGATGAAAACACCGCATTCATTCTGAACGATAATAAATATGTATGTAAATTTTCTTGAAATGTGAAGCAATTTGTGTCTGACTGCCACTCATTTCTAGAGAATTTCGGTGTTATAGATGTAATCAAAGGTTGTGATGCACTGTAAAAATTTTGGATGCAGAACATGGCTGAAGCCTCGCTCTTTCAAAAAAATTTTTTTATCCCCTCTTTTCCCGAATGGAATTCGTCGCACCGCGCGTATAAGCTCCTGCAAGACGAAGGCGGTCGGTTCGAGGTACAGTCTGCCCCAATCCTAACCAGGCCAAAATTGGCATGGCGGGAGTCCGCGTCGCTAGGGTTTTGCGGCCACGCCCACGACCTGCTTCTCTACTTTTTCTCCAATCCTTTTGCTCTCTCTGACAGCGCGCATATGCAGCGCAAACGCTTGGCGCTGCGAGCGCGCAAATCTACGCCGACAATTCGGCCTGATCCCAATTGGAGCAGACTGTACGACGTGGCTGTGACGCGGCTGCGACATGGCTGCGTCACAGCCGAGTCACAGCCGCGTCACAGCCACGTCGTACAGTCTGCTCCAATTGGGATCAGGCCGAATCGTCGGCGTAGATTTGCGCGCTCGCAGCGCCAAGCGTTTGCGCTGCATATGCGCGCTGTCAGAGAGAGCAAAAGGATTGGAGAGTGAATCGACCGCCTTCGTCTTGCACGAGCTTATACCTGTAGTGGGGAGGCGGTCGAAGGGCGCGTATTAATTAGCTGTCACTAACTAAGAAAACAAGAAAAGAAGTTCAAATCTACCTTGTTCTTTGCGGATTACATCCAAGTGATCTACCGCTACACTTTCCAATATGACAGAACTTTAGAATAAAAAAAAATTGTTCTTTTGAAGTACGAATCCTGTCTATCAGTGGACTGCCGAAACGCGCGCCTTTTGACACACACCCCTTATAGCGTCATCCCCTCTTCTAAGGTAACTTTTGACGCTTCTCCTTTCGAAAATGGTTCGCGAAGCTCTTGAAAATGCCTGCATGGGTTACAGCATTGAGCAAATGATTTACCGATGACTCGCTGACGTCTTTTTGTGTGTCTGAGTAAAAATCTGTCAAAGTTCATAGAGCGGGTCTCATTGTGGAGTCACCATTTTGCGTAACATACGCTACTAGCATGTATTAGGACTATCATGATCAACAAGGATTAGCGGACCCGATAAGCGGGTCTTTCGAAAATTTCGCGTCAACAATTCCACAAGTCTTCGGTTCAAAGAGCTGAGTAAGCTTCTGTACGTTTCTCAAAGTCGTTGTTTAACGAATGAATCCGCAAGATATGAACTGTAGCTCCAAAAATGCGTGAAAAGTCTCTTTCAAGGCGAATTGAGCGCTAAAAAGGAAGAATTTCAAATCGCCGCTCCGCAAGGGTTCTACCTAATAAACTAAGTACCCTATTTTCAGGTGTATAAACCGCATCCTTTTCGCTCTAAAGGCGAACACGCCAAAAGACTGACTGTCATCATGGAGCGCGTCAAGTGAGAGCAGCATGCGATAAGGCGACCTCTTCGCGAGACATACTCGGCGGCACGCCTCGGTTTGCTCGCGTTTAGAGCAAAAAGGGTGCGGCTTATACACCTGAAAATAGGGTAAATCTTTACTCAGGCATGTAGTTCATTTGATTGGACGATATTCAAGTTGACGAAGCATCATGATTTTATTTTGAGTTCCAAGATAAATAAATATTAGGTTGGAAACTAAGTTTTGCAACTACTTTCATAACTCAACTCTCTTTGGCTGTGGCGCACTCAAATTTGGGCAATATGTAGAGCGTAGAGTGAGTTACATTTGACCAGATTTGTTTGCATTTTGAGAACGAATTAGAAAAATTTCAGGTATTTTTCGAAAACTAGTGAATTTTGAAAATTTTTGGGGTTTAATGCAAAATGATGTTGTTAGCAGTCCAGACCATCCGCAATAATCCGGAATCGTCTGTTAATTGTTGCAAGAGGTTGACTTATTCGGCTCAGCAAAAAAAAAGAAATAAAATTTAGCGGCAAGTCGAGATTTGGCGCCCTCATAATCTCAAAAGTGTTGCTGTACGCAAGGCTGCTGGGGCCAGCTGTCAATGACTTAGGATTCGAAGCCACAAAATTCCCCGAGCTTTTACATATTGAGGTTTTTTGACCTGCTAATCACGAATATCATATTTATTAGCTGAATCAACGCCTCGTTCCTTGTTTAGGATGGGACCCCCTATATCGTATACCTACAGTAATCCTACAAAAAAGCCCTTATCATGCAGTTTCACTATCGTTTTCGTGATCAGCATGTCGGATAACACCCCTATGCCAAGTTTCAGCCAAATCCGTCAAACTTTGAATTTTTCCCCTTCATACCATACGCCTACCGTAACCCTGACTGCGACGTCAGAATTTGGTAGGGCAGCAGCTGCGCTTGTAGCCTACGTAATAACCAACGCAGTGACAAAATTTGAGTGCGCCATGTTGAGTGAGAGGGAAGTTATGGGACCAGTTGCAAAACTTAGTTTCCAACCCAATAAATAAATATCCAAGTCTGAACTTGCACATGCGAGACGAGTAAGTTGCGTGGGCGTGGGAATTGAGCGGGGCCCAGCTCGTGAAGGCTGTTCACAGAATAGCATAACCCTCTCGCCATAGAAATAGGCATAGAGGGCTTATCACCTGCAGTGGGGTGCACCAGCATCTCCACACCCCCGCGGGACTCCGCACCTCTTCCGCGAACGTATCTTCAATCATATCTAATCAATTGAGCTTCGCTTTTCCGATCAGAGCATGTTCGTGAAAGAGCTGCGGAGTCCAGGCGAAGCGGTCGCCCGGGAGCGGAGATGCTGGTGCTCCCGACACTGCAGTTATATGCCCTGTAGATTCCATATCTGAAGAAATTCCATTAGTTAGCTTATGCAACACTAACCAGTCATGAAGAAGGATGGGCGTTGAATGAAGCCAGCTTCGCATTCAATGTATCTTGATATGTTTACGTCATTAGGCTTCGGTCGTACTATATACCAACGTTACCGCTGTTGCTGCTGCTGAAGTCTCATTTTCCATATAAGTTCTCACAGACGATGAGAACCCAGAAAACTACAACAAGAGTCAAAGAGTGCTAAAGTCGGTACTATTCCACTTGATACAACCCAAAAACTAAAAGTCACGGATTTCGCTTAAAATTTGCTCACAGGGTTCCTCGACCTCCTGATCACGAAAATGGTATCTATTTTGCATGGTGAGGATGAGCCCATACCGTATTTTGAGCCCGTACCGTATGCCTACCGTAGCCCCTCTTTGAGGGGCTACGGTAGGCATACGGTATGGGCTCAAAATCTCAGAATTCGCTAAAACTTTGCGTAGGGGGTTGTTCGACATGCTGATCGCAAGTACCACGCTTTTGCCCGCACGAAAACCTCTCCTTGTACGGTTACGGTAGGTATATGGTAAGGTGTCAAAACCGTAGATCTGCCTGAAACTTTGTGCAGGGATGTTATCTAATGTACTCATCACGAATACCGCGCTCTTTTCGCTTATAAGGCCTTCTTGTGGAATTTTGGGATCTCAATTGGTCTGAAAAGCGGGGAAGATGCTTCCATAAGCGCTGCAAATTGTCATGACTTTACAACAAAGCGTTGTTATAGCGATTAAATCTGACATTCGTTACCAGCATGCTTGAGAACCCCTCCAGGCAACGTTCTAAGCAATTTTGAAATTTTCATCCTTGTATCGTGTACTTGCCGTGACTCGAGAAAATGGCGCTACCGTACAAAGTCAATATGATATCCATGTTCAGCGTGCTAAATAACTCCTCCATACCAAATTCCAGCCAAACCTAGGTTTTGACTCCCTACCGTACACCTACCGTAACCGTACAGGGAGAGGCTTTCGTGCGAAAAAAGTGTGATATTCGTGAACAGCATGTCGAATAACCCCCCTGCGCAAAGTTTTAGCAAATTCTGAGATTTTGACCCCAAACCGTATCCCTATCGTAACCCGTTTAACACGTTTCGGACCGTTGCTGCACATGGTGCAGCACGCGGCTATGAGGGCTCTTTTTAACGTTTACAGGAGGTTTTCTTTTTGTCCAAGGTTATCAAGTCAAAGGCCTAAGCTCCTTCTTTTCAAATGACTTTGTAGAGCGTTGCCGCGTATATTTGTTTAGGAGATATGAGGACAAATCCAACAACAGTTGCAACGAAGTGCGGCAACGCGAACGACGCGTGCGACGTCGCAACTTTCCTTTGCTTCGATTCCAAAGGGAAAAACCGTAGCTTCAATAATGATGTGTACCGTGTACAACATAGATACTTTTGAATACTATTTGGAACTGAGTTCTTACTCCTATCTTCCAAGAAAACACAAAAGTCCCTCTCAAGCGACAAAATTCAAACAGTTCAAATTCACTCAGAACTTTGGGTATGGAGCTTATCTGAAATGGTGATTACAAATGTGGCCCACATGCTGCGAAATAAGGTCCCTTTGTAGGCTAACGGCTGAAAGTACACTTTTTTTTGCCGCGCGCGATTTCGCAGTCCGAAACGTGTTAAAAAGCCTCACCATGCAAAACAGGTATCATTTTCGTGAAGAGTTCGAGTAACCCTTTGAGCGAATTTTCAGCGAAATAGTGGTTTTCAATCTTTGGGTTGTATTAAGTGGAATATCGCCCTAAAAGTCTAATATATACGCTACAGCACAGATGCGTTTTCCAGTCTAGGAATGAAAGGCAACGAAAATCGTGTCTCTTATCTGTTATCAAATGTGTCGGAATCCAAAATCTTGTAAATGATCCTGCTTACAGATTCCTCGAAGCTTGATTTGTTTTCACTATAGGTCATTAATCATTCAAGAGCGGTAAAAGGGTAAAGCAGTAACAACAGAAACAGCGGTAATATGTGGCCGGCCTTACTTTTTCTATCTGTCTTTGCCAACTTCCAGTGTTCCAAGGCAACAAGAGCCAAATACTAAAGTCTATTATATGTGCTACAGAACAGATGCGTTTTCCAGACCTCTA